TTAATAAGCTTAAGTCTATAAAAATAATAAGGAAATATATAACCTTAGAAAAGGCTAAAAATCTAGCAAAGCTAATAAAAAAGGGTTAGAAGTAGGTACAAGAGTATTTAAAGGCTACGTAGTTGCAGTAATAAGAGCAGACGAATAAGCATCATCAGGAAATCAATTTCGAAGAAGGAGATAAGGTCTAGCTATTAATAAAGAACATTAGCATAATAAGACCTTGCAAGAAACTTGATTTGAAATAGATTAGGCTATTCCCTGTTATAAAAAGGCTTAGGCAGAGTTTTTATTTAGAACTGCCCTTATTAATAAGGATTCATAACATGTTCTATGCATTACTGCTAATTAAGGACTCTGCTGACCCTCTGCTAGGGCAGGAGTGCCCACAGCCTCTGCTAGTAGAGATAAAAGAAGAGGAGGCGTAAGAGGTTAAAGATATAGTTGACATCAAGAGAGTAGGCAAAACATAGAAGGTATAAGTAAAATAGGTAGGCTAGCCAGAGGACCTGACCTATTACCCTATCTCAAACTTTAAGGGCTCTAAAGATCTGCTTAAGGACTATTTTGAAAAGCACTTAGCAAAAGAGATACCTGATTAATTAATTTGAGGCTAAGTATAAAAAATCTAATAAAGATATTATATAACAAATTTAGCTATATATATATAGTTAAATATTAGACTAACTAAATAAGGAATTACCAGGCTTAATAATATTAGAATAAAAATAGACTTACTTTTTTATATTCTTAATTAAGAGCAATTAATTTTTTTTAAAAGAGAGAGATAATATAATAGATAATATATTTTCTTTATTATAATACAGGAAATATATATATTAGCTATATATTTAAGAGGCAACACCTATAACTAACTTGCAGCAGCAAGCAAACTCTTGCTATAAGGCGTTTATCAAAGTATATAAGCTATTTAGACAGATTATAAATAAAGAGATTTCGCCTTACCTGATTAGGGAAGCCTAAACTTCACTATACAGTAGGAGGCCGGATTGGGAACTATGGATGCTCTGTAGTCTATAGCGTGGCCCACATATATATAGGCCTTACTCGCTAGCGTTAGAGTATATAAATCTATACATGGCTATATTATAAATAGATTCTCTAGCTTTTGTTTTAGTAATCTATAAATTATTAACTTGTTCTAGTTTTAAGTTATTATAATTACTAATAAAGATAAATTTATATCTTAGGCTATAATTAGTACTAATTATAAATAATTATAATATTTATTATAATTAAATAAGCTCTTAATATTATATTT